AAAAAAAAAAAAAAAAAAAAAAAAAAAAATGATAACAAAACAATAAAAAGAAAATTGATAAAACAAACAATAATAAGTTTAAGAAAAAAAAAAAACTTGGTTTAGGAATCTGAAAAAGAGAAAAAAAAAACACAGTGTGAAAAAAAGTGAAATCATTAAGAGGAATATTTGAGTTTAAGAATAGAACTTGAAAAAAGATGGAATTAAATGCGGAAGAAAGTGCATAGACGAAAAATTTCAATCAGAAAGATTAGAAAAGATCTGACAGGAAAAAATGTGACACTTTTACTTTTGGAGAGTATAAATTTTTTTTTTTGACTTTATTTTTCTTCTTTCTTCCTGTTTTTTCTTTCCAAATAAATAAACCTCAGCATAATGGCAACACAGTGGTTGACCGCGAAGACCACAACGACGACGACGACGACGACAACGAAGACAATGTCCGCGATAAAAACAGCGGAAAACGCTATAAGCCAAAACCTTGTCCTTTCCTTTTTTTTTCGCTGCTAAATGATTTGTGCAGTTTTTAAGGGGGAAATACTGATGGTGATGATGACGATGATGGGTAGTGAAAAAATTAAATAGCTTTTTGGTGAAATTAAATTGAAAAAACCCAAATTTTTGGGTTAAGTCTTAAAGAGAGAGAAAAAAGAAATGTATTTTTGAAAAAAGTTGAATCTTTTTTCTTTCTACTGTAGAAATGAAAAAATTTTCTTCCAAACAAAACTTTTTCTTAGTTAAACTGTTCGATGTATGTTCCAAAATTAGTGATTTATTCATTTCTTTTATCGCCTTTTTTGCCTCCTTTTGACGATTACTTTGAAAACGATGTTTGACTATTCTGTAACAGAGGTTGTGAAGGTGATAACTTTGGTGATCACCTTTGTACGTATTTTGGCTCCTTAATTGCATTGCTTAGACAGATACCATAATTAAATGATAATAGCAAAACTACTAATACAAATTAGCCAGGCAAAAAAAAAACCGGATATAGACGATAGACGTCAACAAAATTTAAATTGCAATTACAAAATCATATATAAAATATGACCTCTTAGAGATAGTAAAAACAAAGTGAAGTAAAAAAAAAAGAATAAAAGTATGCGAGAATAAGGCGAAGGAGAATAATAAAAACAAGAAAAATGTTAAGC